TAGGAGACTTTACCTTTTTCTAAAATGGGAAAGGCATCAAATTATAGATTTGTATACTATAATTATCTGTTGGCAAGAAAATATCTAATTTTATACCGGATATTATTTCTACAGAATAACTTTAATAAGGTAAGGTTAGAAATTTAGAATAATGAGAAGGAGGATGCCACGGTCGTTTGTTCACATTGAATTACTTGAATAGTTATATGTCACATTGCCACATTGGAACCAACCATTGGCACCCAGCATCCCAACCTCACCCTTTCGGAGTTTCGGTTACTCGATACATGTCACATATAACTACAACTCGTCAACTCGAGATTGAGTTGAGATATTATAATTATCTTTGCTTACTTTACCTGTGCTACTACATATGTAATTGTATGAGAGTGAGGGATAACTTAAGTGGTGAGAGTTTCTCTCCCGATTTCAGGATATCTGAGATCGATTCTCACCCCTGCATTGTGGCTCTCATCTAAACACCAAAAACATATGTAATATAAATGGAGTTAACTAAATTAATTGGATGTGATACAATTAAATTGAAATTGAAATTTAAATTTAATTGCACTAAATTAAAATTGAACTGAATTTAAATAAAACTATAAAAAAATAAGATCAAAAGAACATAGCATTAAACATGTAACCTAAGTACCTAACCATCATGGAATATAATTACAAACTAATTTTCTTAATCGAAAACTACCCTTTCCTTTAATTAAAAGATAAGGAGTACAAGCACTCATATTAAAATGTTTTGTAGGGTGACAAACTGACAGTTCATAAACCACTATTGTATGCAATCATACAAAGACGAAATCCATATACTTTGTAGTGAGTGCAAATCAACCTAACAACTAACTAAGATTATGATTAGTTTTTGAACCAAATAAACAAACCTAATTGTCCTTCACTTAATGATGTGTCCCCCTTCAACATTTATCCATAATCAATCACATATACAATAAACTTACATTATTAATTAAACATTATATGCATTCCGAAACTTGCATTATTATGCCATATAAAACATGTCGATTTAATTTTTTAAAGCTCTTTTATGCCAACCTACCAACAGACTACAATAAACTTAAAGGTACATATATTGTTTTTTTTTTTTTTTTTCAAGACGTACATATATAATAATAGTACATAGTTTAATAATTTACCTCATAAATGGCACATAATGATGCGCAAACTGTCCATGTGTCGCCATATAATACACCGGTTGAGTATAAAATAGAGACAATTACTATATACAGTATTATTATGCTTCAATATTGATACGGTTCTGGTTTAATAAAAGAAACGAATATTGCTGATAATGCAATAAAATAGTAACACTCAGTATAAATGGCTCCAATTTCATGGGATATAAAACAATTATACGGATCGGATTAAAAAATAGTCCAGAAATTATAGTGATTAGGTACAAATAACGGCTTAATTCGTCTATTTGTCCTCCTCCAAATAGGATAATTAAGTAGAATTATTATGGTCACAATCAAGTTAAATTGACCACTTTTTAGTGATGTAGACATTTTTATTAAGTCAATAAGCATTATAATGTAATTATGTGGTATAAATGCAATTTTTTATTGTCCAATTGAGTTACATATACGATTAAAATCTACTGTGATCTATTGTATATATGTTTTCGGTCTTTGCCTTAAGACCTCATTAATATGTACAACTTATAATTATAACGTTATTGTCAGTGTATTGTAGTTGCGATATTAGGACAAAAGAGATTACATATCAGCCATCATATTTAAGGTAAGGTCAAAAGTTGTTTACGTATTTGGTTTATCAAGCTAAAACTAACACCAATCAAGTTAATATAATATGAAATATGTTAATTGTCATGTGCTATTCATTTTGTCATGATTAAAACTCAAGAATTGTTTACAAAAGTAAATGGTTATTTGGAGGCAAAATATTCCACGCTTAAATTAAACAACGGGTACAATATCTCTGTTACGAAAATCATGGGTAAAGAATTGAAAGCTTGAAATTATGTGTCATTAGACTTTGGGATACATCACAAATTAATTTTTTATTTTTTATTTTTGAAACCACATCACAAATTAATTAAATTCATATAACTATATTTAATTTTATTAAAAAAAAAAAAATCTGCACTTGTTAATGGTAGATTGATTTATTGTTCAAACCCAATTTATCGTGCTACATAATTAGGTTTATCTACTAAAGTTATTATGCATGACAAAATGTGGAAAAAAATTTACTCATACATAAATGATCTTCTTTATTTGATTTTTAATTGATTTTGTATAAAATTTTATTACAATCAACCAAATAAAACAGCTATACCCTAACCATCAATAAGAGCAAGTCTGAGGCTTTTCCCAAGTTTTTAGACACCTACAGTTGGCGTGTATCATCACTCACCCTAATAGAAGGACGCAAAATTTCACTATAACCCTATAAAAGTGCAACACAATAAAAATGCTAACCCTATGGTTGGCGTGTTTCATCACTCACCCTAATTGGTGAGTATGATAATGACCCAAATCGTGTGATATACACACGCCCATAGGAAGAGCAAAATTTTCACTGTAACCCTATAAAAATGCTAAACTATATAAGAAAGAGATGTGAAAAAGAAAAGGGAATATACAAAGTATTGAGAAAACATAAAAGATAATATAGGTAAAGGGGCAATAGAGACAAGCATGGCATCAAATATGTTGACTTTCATTTTATGGGCCAAATAATTCTTAGATTTGCTGACTCCACTCAATTCAATATTTTCTGAAAAATAAATCTTTATAGTGAAATGTTGTTATTGTTGTGATGATGATAAATTAAGATTCGATTGTACCTCTCCGTGATATGATTCATCACCTTTATCTAGAAATTTCCCAACTATGCTTAGCTAATAAGACATTTAAATGCATCATCAACAGTGTCGAAGCTTAATGCATGTACTAGTGGTATCATGCATATCCAATTGCTTTAATTTTCTATTTTTTTTTTTTTGGTTTGTTTGACAAATAGTGTAGAAGCTTATAACATATATGAAAGGCCAATTGTAGTAGTGTACCCCAAAAATCACTAACTAAATTAAGATAAATCGACCACACCATATATATTTACGTTAGAAGTAAAATCTTCTATTTTATACAACTGTCACATATCCTAATACACATATATCATTTCAGTTTGACCATAATATCTTATTTGATTTGTTATATAGTTTATACAATAATATGTATACGAAATATATGTTAGGAGATGGACACATGTCCAAGTAACATTGATGGATCACTTGTATAAAAATTCAAAATTCGCAATTAATTAATTCTTATTTTGTTAAGATGAAAAGAAAAAAATAAAAAATAAAAAAATGAACACTCAAATTATACTCGTAATGTCTAAGCATGAACTCATAATGATGTAAGTATGCCACATTGCCACCTAATTACCCCTCAATGATTCAGATTGAGAGGGAATGATGAAACAACAACTTCATTTTGCACTTTGTAGCGTCAACATCCAACACCTTTTTAAAGCCAAAGATTCGGCCAAAATTCATTAACAAATTAGGGAAATTATTAATTAGGATTAATTAATCTTTCTTATGTTCTCATTGTTTTTTATCCAAAAAAATATAAAGTTTTCAATAATTTTTCCATTATTTATGGTCCCCTCGTTAAGAAATAGATCAAAGGGAAAAAAGTAGCCAAATCTTATTATGGAAGGAATATTGTAGAGAAGAGGTACAATTATTATTTGGTCCAAGAAAGTTATCAATTAGCTACGTTGATAAAGTTTGGCAAATTAGTCAAGTAGCATTTGTTTTGGTTCAATTAATCTGGACATATTAAAATCAAAGATAGAGAGGTTCACTTACAATGGACAAACAAAAATTTTTAGTGGTGCATCATTCTAAGGGCTTGCCTGAATTGGGTGATGAAATGGAGGGTAAAATTAAAGTGGATTGCAACGTAAGTCTCGATTTTAAATCTGAGTTGTTAACCTATGATCAAACTTGTCAGTTGTCACAGTAATCATCATGATGGCTAGCTACATAGTGTGGTGTGGCCAGCTACATATAAGAATTTGTAAATTATATATGTACTAATGTACACACGGTATGTATAGAAGAACCAGGCATACTATATGTATTAAAGTAAGTTGCATCATAATATATGTGTTTAATTTGCTTGTGACATTAAGCTATTCTCTTCAATAATCTTAACTCGACATTAAGCTATTCTCTGTGTGTGTGTGAATGCATTCAATTATAAATATTTGTAGTCGTTAATAAATAAAAAAAAAAAGAGTAATATACTAAAGAAATATACTCATTAAAAGAAATACAACAAGTTAAGATTTCACATGATTATGCCTTTTCTTATTTTTGTAAATAATGCCAAAAATAGAAATGTCATTCCGGTCATTGGGTCTAGTTCATTTATGAGCAGAACCTCATGTTAATTCATTGTATCCATTCAAGTCAAAATTTAACTCGGATCTTGAAATTAGGCCTTGTAAGTAGAATCAGTTTTAATTTTTAACACCATTAAACAAAAAGGTCAACTTGCATCTATTAATTTAGATTGAAGGAACTACTCAAGGAAGAAGATACCAATACATATATAAAAACAAATAATCAAATCAAATCAAATTAGTTTAGACCTTTGTAATCTACCGATAGCAAATTTTATATTTTTGCTTTGTTAGTCAACTACACGACTACATACGATGACTTCAAGAGATAGAAGTGTAGATATTTTGCTGTAATTAAAAAAATTGGGTTATATTGTACTAGTATATAATAGTCGTCAAAACTCAAAAGTCGTTAGAGGACAATTTTCTACACCTTCTAATAAACAATTCGTTATGATTAATTAGAAATATTCTCTTACTAGTAGTATTTTTCTACAATTTATTTATTTAAACAAGGGATAACTATAGGATGCACAGTCCAAAATTGATGATTTAATACTTTGTTATGAATTAAATCTTCGATCTAATATGAAATAAAGTCAAAAGAAAGTTTATACTCATTATATAAAGTATACTTTTAAATGTCAAGGTAGTCAATTGTCCAAATAGTTTCACATTGGCTCAAAATCCGTCTACAATGTTACCCGTCCTAATCTTTATAAAATCCGAACATTTAAAATAATAAAGAAAAAAGTGGAGATGCGATGCACCTTTCTTCTTCCCAAGGCACAAAACTCCATCATCACCATAGAAGTAATTAAAGAAGCAAATTAAACAAAGGTGGTTTCTTTGAACAGAACACACACTAAGACATGGGCAGTCTTTTACAACCTTGCAACTTCCTCTTCCTCCTCCTTTTGCTGGTAATATTTACTTCATATTTTCTAGCTTCTCATTTTTTCTTATACAAGTAATCTTTCTTTTTCTTCATTTTTTAGCGTTATTTAGTTTTCAAAATTCTTAAATTAAATTGAGACACATAATTTATATTATTCTATGCCAAACACTCCATTAATTTATGATATTATGTGGTTATCACAAAAATTTCATAATATTATGCCATTTTTTTTTTTGAGACAAAAATTATGGCATCTTGAATTCTTGATGTGTGGGTGTTTTATTCTTAATTTTTATATTTTTCATCCTCAAACTTTATTTTAATTTTTTTTAAAATGTATTTCCTTCTAATATTATGATAATTATTGAATATTTTGCAGAGCATTATCCAAGGAAATTTTGGTAGAAAAATAGCAAACCATGTTCATGATGATGATCAACATATGCATGTCCGTACATCATCATCATCATCTAACATGGATCACATGGAAATATCATGGAACATATTCTTTCACATTGAAGACCTAAAACTTGGTAAAAAAATCCCATTATATTTTCCCATAAAAAACTCATCTTTTACTCCTCACATAATATCTAAACAAGAATCAAATTTAATCCCTTTTTCATCAACACAAATTCCGAAAATACGCGAATTTTTCTCATTTGCTCAAGAATCACCTCAAGCTAAGGCCATAAAACACACCCTTATGCATTGTGAAACCCCTCCTTTAGAAGGTGAGACCAAATTTTGTGCTACCTCTTTAGAGTCTATGCTTGATAATTTAAGCCTAATCTTCGGATTAGGTGAAAAATTCGAGGTTTTGACAACTAAAAAGACCAAAAATTTGATCCCAATTTTGCAAAATTATACAGTTTTGGAAGATCCTAAGGAAATTGTTGCGAATAAAATGGTAGGGTGTCACCCTGTGCCTTACCCTTATGCAGTGTACTATTGTCATGGGCAAGTGAATGATAATAGGTTGTTTGTGATCTCACTTGAGGGTCAAGAGGATAGGCAGAGAATTGAAGCTGTTGCAATCTGCCACATGGATACTTCTCAGTGGGACCCACATCATGTCTCGTTTCGCGTGCTCGGGATCGAGCCTGGGGCTGCCCCTGTGTGCCATGTGTTCCCTCAAGATAATCTAGTATGGGTTTCATCCCATAGCTCTGCTACTTAGTGTAGTGTAGTGTGTGAAATTAAGAGCATCTATGTGTTTGAGTAATGTGGGCTGAATTTGGTGCTTGTAAATCTTGTGTTAGTAACACTTGAAGTTTGTGTGTGTACTTCATGATTGTATGGGCTTAGGCCTATTATGAGGATTTAATCTCCTATCCATTAAATGAATCTGTCAAAATGTAAATTTGTTGAGTGTTATCACTAAATTTGTACAAGAAGCTCCATTTCAATAGGCTCAATTATACTAAAGGAGCTATGTTTTTCTTGGTCAGTGTAATTTCAATGTGTCTGATTGTATTCTTGCTCCTTGCATAATCATGTACTCCCTCCGTCCCTTATTTTTTGCCCCATTGCAAATATATGGGTCAAATTAATAAAACCTTGACCATGAATTCTCGTTATCCTATAAGTTATAATATATTCTAGTGAGATCTTGTTAGACTCGTCTCATTGTATATTTTATTAATATCATGTTTTTGTAACTTTTACGCGTATAAAAATGGAGATACTACCTCCGTTACAGGTTATGTGCAACGATTAGACATTTTCCCTCTCTGCTATATGTCAAATCGTTGCACATAACCTGTAACGGAGGTAGTATATATGATTGAAGACATGTCTTAGAGACCGTGAAAAGTCAAATGGGGCAAAAAAAATAAGGGATAGAGGGAGTATATTTCAATGTTCTAACATAAAACAATAAACATCGAATTAGATTAGAAATCCTTTTTCTTGGATATTAAGCGTAAAATTGACAATTTTTGGCACGACTTACCGATAAAAATTAAATCATACAAGAATTTGGTGGGAAAGATTCAAACCCAACCAATTACCACAATGAATATGGCTCGATGTTCAATACTTAATTTAAAACACTCTGATTATACTTGATAGTTCTACAACTTTAACTCTTACGAAGTATTGAACTATTTGAGTTGATTTATGTGCAACATAAAATTGACTCAAATCCAAACATAGCGAAAGTTAGGCTTGGGTCAAGTGGCTCACATCCACGAGCTATGCTGGTAGTCTATGTACATGACGATCTGTACCTAAACACAACCCTTGACATCATCACTCGTTTTCAATAAAAGGTTCCTAACGAAAAACCTTTAATGAAAGTCGTAATTAATTTTTAAATATGATATCCATACACGACCCATGCCCATCGACGTACCACAACTACCACTCATATTGGCTAATACAATGGCTCAGCCCATGCCCAATTCTTTACCCACCCCAATCCATAAGAGTTAGGCCTTCCAAAACCCAAAAACATCACCATTACTTACCATTCATCGAGAACATCTGTATAGTAGAGTCGTCTTCTTCACCAACACCTTCTTTCTCTCTCTTCTACTCACTCACTCTTCCAAGTTCCCAGAAATCACAAAAATGGCGGCAGCTTCAATTTCTACCTATTTTACTTGTTCTTCAATTGCTTCTCAGAAAACTAAAACCTCCCCATTTCCATTTCTCTCCCAAAGGTTCTTTAATTTCACCCAATTTAATTTTCTTGCATTTTTTTTAAATTTTTTTTTGATGTAGTTTCTAATTCAATGATTTACAATTGCAGAAGCTCAAGTAAATCGATTGTTTCTTTACTATCCAATTACCCCAGTGATTATTCATCTATTTCTGGTAATTTGATTTCTTACTATCTACAAATTTATCTTTTCAATTAAATTTTTTTCTGAAATTTGAAATGTTTGAGGAATTTTGATTTGTTACTGAAACTTATAATTAGACTTATTAGTGTGAAATTTGCTTGCGTTACACTTTTCCCAATTGATTAAAAAAGGGTGAACTGTTAGTATTGTTGTGGGTATGAATTGGATGACTGCTTTTTTTTTTTTTTTTTTTTTTTTCAGATTTTAGTTGGTGATTATTTGTTTATTTAGGCATTAATTTTTTTATCGCGAAATAGAATGGAAATCTGAATTGGAATATCATGATTGATTTGTGGGATTGCTCAATTTATTAAGAGAGGGAATTTAGAAATGGAAATGTATTGGCATTAGGGTTAGAGATATTTGAAAGGGAGTGAGTATCATTGTTTGTGATCACTAAATTACGAACGAGGTTTTTATAAGGTAATTGGAATGATTGTTTGGGTGGAACTAAGCTAAACGATGTTAGGAAAGATAGACTTATCTATCAGCAATAGAATAAGTGAACCCCTAACAGCTCTGTTGGTAGCCAATTATAGATAGCGGTAATGAGAATAGATTCAATTGTAATTTGGCAAGAAAAGTAGCATCCTAATGTCTTTAATAATGCAATCTCATCCTCAAACTTGTGTTAATCTGTAAAAATGTCCACCAACTAATACCACCATAGATGCTAATGGATGGTAATGAAAACTAATATTTAAAAAAAAAAAAAAAAAAAAAAAAAAAGAGAGAGAGAGAGAGAGAGAGAAGAGCTAACCTAGGGTGACGTGGTATTACCATGGGAATGAACCTTAATTTTTCTAACCATTTATTTCTACTTGACAAACGTGTTTGTAAGCGACTAAGTGGTCTATTTGTATTGCCCTTTTTTTTCCCCTGGCATGACCGGAGTGGCCTATTGCCTTTAAATTAGAAATGTAGGTGAAGTTGCTGGTGATGTGTTGTATTCCTCTCTAAGTTGAGCTTGACTTTGTACGTTTAAGCTGCTATGTCACTACAATTGCAGGATTATCTAGTAAAAGCATTGGTCTGCCTTTGAAGCTCGATCAGTCTGGTCAGTACAATTCAACTTTAAGGTATGTTGCTATTCTAGTAAAGATAGTTTAGTCAATTTGAATCAATATTACTTTTATCTGGAAACAAAGAACTCTGCTAGAATTCAGAAAGAAAGATTTGTAGACTTTAATTTATCTGCCAAACAATGTGTTATTGTACTAGTATATCACATTTGCATATCGTGTTATTGTAATTACTAGTATTTGATATAGTTTCCTGGATAGGGGAATAGAGAAAGGGGGGGGGGGGCGTGGTGTTATGGTCTTAATATCTCATTGGCAATATCATATGACATAGGATGTACCATTGAAATGATCTAATCTTCAACCATATGGGTTCCTCCGTAAGAAATGTAGAGTTACACTCAATAGCAGCAGAAGGAAAGGAGTTAGGTCTCTTTTATCACTGTTAGTTTCTAAAGAACAAAGATCTATATATGATTGGACAATAACTGATGGAATAACCTTAGTTTATTTATTGCTGTATTTTTTGATTGACTATTGCCTTGATAGTTACATTCTTTCCTCATAATCTTCTACTTTGTGCCAGCAATGGGCCTATAGAAGCCAGAAAGGGTAATCCACCTGTAATGCCTGCTGTAATGACACCAGGGGGACCTTTGGACCTTTCTAGCGTTTTATTCAGGAACCGGATCATATTTATTGGGCAACCAGTGAATTCTCAGGTGGCTCAACGTGTTATATCTCAGCTAGTAACTTTGGCAACTATTGACGAAAACTCTGACATACTGGTATTCTTTTTAATAGCTCACATGCTCTTCCCTTTTCATATCAATCTTTGTATCAAGATTCTGGGCTGAGAATTTCTGTGTCTGATGGGTATCTCTCCCATTTTTTCAGATGTATATAAACTGCCCTGGTGGAAGCACATATTCCGTGTTAGCGATTTACGACTGCATGTCTTGGGTAAGCTGTCCAAGATTATTTTGCAGTTGTTGGGGGCAAGGGTGCGGGTATATTTGGTTTTATGCACAGTGTGAAAGAGAGATAGGGTACTAGTTGGTTCAGAATCCTTTTGCTGGTTCCTGGGGGTTCATATCAGTAAAAGAATTCCGGAAAGCTTCTGTTGACAACAGTATTTTCACTTTCAGATAAAGCCAAAAGTTGGGACAGTTTGTTTTGGTGTAGCTGCAAGTCAAGGTGCACTTCTCCTTGCTGGTGGAGAAAAGGGAATGCGTTATGCAATGCCAAATTCACGTGTTATGATCCATCAACCACAGAGTGGATGTGGGGTATGTGTTTAATTCTCATTTTATACGGTGTTTATGCAGCACATTATACAGGTGGTTCTGATTTAATATGTTGCATATTAGAGCTTGATCTTTCCATGTATCTTGTAGGGTCACGTTGAGGACGTCAGGCGTCAAGTGAATGAAGCAGTTCAGTCTCGCCATGTCAGTATCACTCTCTATTCCTCGTTTTAAGCAAGAATAACTATAACAGTCATCAGCTCATTACATAGTATTTACAATGAACTTCTGTACTGATGGACTCAGTAAAGCAATTAAACAAGAATCGTCAAATTCTTATCGATTTCAAATGGGTATTAGTGTTGGGGGATAGACATGCATTTGATATGATATATAAGTATTTGTATATGGTCTTATGAATTTACTGCTTTACAGTGTGGTATTACTGAGACTAGTTCTGAACAAAACTTTCTTCCTTGTGGATGTATTGCAGAAAATTGACAAAATGTATGCTGCATTCACTGGTCAACCACTTGAAAAAGTACAGCAATACACAGAGAGGGACCGTTTCCTATCTGTTACAGAGGTAACGTCAAGCAAATATACTGTAGGATATGTGGGCTTCATAAATGTTCCTTTTTACTTGAAAAAAAGCCCCTCTTAATAAATAAAATATTTTTGCATACTAAAAGAATAGCAGTTAACTCATTGCTTGCAAAGTATAAACTTTTGCTTGAAAAGCAAACAAAGTTCAGTGCAAACAAAGTTCAGTGCAAACCTTTGCATATAAAGAGCCATTTTAAGTTATTTACAACATTTACTTGCAGTGTTTGTTCATCACCCCCGATCCTGGAATTTAGTAAAAATATTTTACAAAATTTTATATTTCTCGTCTGTCTGTTAAGAAGTTGCTTCATCCTTTCCTCGCACCAGATTGGCTGAAGAAAGTGCTTAATGAGTGGGATCTTGCTATCCATTTGCATGATCTTCACAGAATACACTGATATCAGCAAATTTTGGTCTGAACTCACATTGGATTTTGTAGGTCATTACTCATGATTTCAGAGGTGGAATATTCATAAGCCTTTTCTTTAATGTTTCCCATTACCCAATCTATTTTTGCAGAGACGGATCTTGTGTGTGTGTGTGTGTGTGTGTTAATTATGCTGCTTTTGTTGGTCTATTTTTTCTTTAATGTTTCCCATTACCCGATCCATAAGCCTTTCTCTGGCGTATCAGCGAGATTGAGTCCTTTGTTTATATTCCTCCCTTGTGCAGGCGATGGAGTTTGGTCTTATAGATGGCATTTTGGAAACAGAGTATTGAGGATGCTGCGTATGACATGTTGCAATTTCATGGATGCATCTTTCTTATAGCTGTTGTACGAAGTATAGTTCACAAGTTGTCCAATACTAATTGTGTTGCATTGCTATCTCACTTTAACAACATTGTAATTGGAAGGGACATGGTTGTTGTCCTTGTATATCTTCAAAGAGGAATTATATTCAATTTTTTTAAAATCGAATGGTAAATTGTGGGCAGGTAATGTTCCAATTGATTTTGTTTTGCTGAACAGAAAATCTACAGATTTAAATTCTGCTGCTAGCAGGAATGGTTTTTGATACATGAGGGAGAGGTGCAGGCAATTTATTGCTTTTACAAGATTTGTTTTGCACAAGGTCAAAACTGAAGAAAATATCACCTTACTATATAAATGATATGACTGAAAACGTTTCTATAACTACAAACTATTTCAATGGTTTTCATCATGATAAACTACTGCAATAACAAGTTTATGTTCATAAATTATCGTTCAAGATGAGCCTTCTCATGGACGTGCACGTTCATAAACAAATCAATTTCAATCAATTTACAACCTTGTGCCAAACTCACAAGAGCTTTAAGAAGTACAAAATGATCGCCTCCCTACAAACGGGAACCAACTTTCTTATTTTGGGGGTTGTGGGAGGAGATAACAATTCATGTATTTAAGGTTCTCCCTCCCCATAAGAATGTTGTGGTATATGGTTAAGCCTACTCATACATCCATATAGTGTTCTGGCATGTTTAAAATGCTTCGCCTTTTATCTGACTCAGTAGCACTTCTGGTGTATATGCTATGCTATGTACCTGAGAAAAGAGTAAAAGACAATTGCCAAGAAAATCAGAAACAATGCCTTATAGTATGTGAAGTAAAGCACGACTAGTCCATTCTCAAAATCTGAACATTCAATCAGCCAAATGGTTGAATATTGAAAGTCTTGCTGATAGAGAAAATGTTTAATCTCAAGCCTTCACACATTATAACAGCCATCAATAATTTTTCAAATTATGAACAGCAGAACACTTTGACGGGATAGAACATAGTGTCTAGTAATTATTTTTGCTTATCTACTTATCTTTACACAGAGCAGGGTAGCCCTTTTCAGTTTCTGAATGTTTAACAAGTAAAAAGATAATAGAGCAAACCAATTTACATAAAAGACTTACCATAATTTTGGCAAACTGTAGTGAATCTGTAAATGGCCTTGATTAAGAAGCTGTATTTCTTAGACTTCAAATTTCCCATATGACTACAACAGAAAAGAAAGCCTCAATGTAAAGCATCCACTGTAAATATATGGTCAAGTAGCAAGATACAAGAAGCATAACTAAAGAAAATAGGGCCTAACAATAGGGTAACAAAATGCACTAGGCAACCAAATTTAATATGGAGACACGGAGTACAACTAACAATTTCAATGTGCTAAGAAAATCTCCCGAGTACAGAGTGGCCTGATGTCAAGAAACGAAAATTGGATTACAAAGAAAAGAAAATAAGAGGGAAAACAATTTACAACCAGTGTGGTTCCAGAAACAGTGAGATTTACTTGTGGGAGCCTTTAACCTGTCAAACCTTTTCAATTACAAACTGTATCCTTTGTTTTAATTTTTTTTATTTTTATTTTTTTATTTTTTTATTTTTTTTCTTTACTGCTGTTTTAGCTAGTCCAGGAAAATTGTGCTTACAATGCAAGGTTATAATGGTTCACACTTCCAAAAGATTTACTCACACAATCTCAGTATAGCTTAATCTCCATGGTGGAAAGCCAAGATGACATCTTGCAGGTCCGTAAATTAAGAGTAGATCAGGTTCGGGACCAGAACAACCTGCTTATAGAAATAAATTTAATAAGGAATTACTTTCAAGAGACTAAATAGTTGTCAAATTTAGAAAGAAAAACTTCAAAGAAAACATTCTGAAAAATAGACAAACCAACTAGTTGTAAAGCCTCGTCAATGATTGGTTCAGTAAATTTTGTCTTGTCTCCATTACCATCCTTATACTTTGAAAAAAGCAAATTTGCTGCTTTCACTACACCTTCTTTCCCATCAGAGACTGAAACAAACTCCAAGATCAACTGACTAGGCTTTAGGACAGCTTCATCTGTTTCAACTGCCTGCAAAAAAAGGATACGTTTTTCAACGAAACCTCCCGCAGAACTAACAACAGCAAAAAAAATAGGATCTATCACAATATGATGGGATTAGATGCAAGTTTATGATTTAACCATTTTCCTATTAAGATAAATTCATTAACTATATGCAAACCCAAACTACTCTCTGTTAGATAACTCTGTAGCAAACATGCACAAAAGCCAGTCTGGTTAGGATCATATGAGCAGATTTGATACCTTCCGTGGTCTTGCATCGCATTCAGCTATGATGGTCTCCTGTGATTGCTTCAACACCCCTAAACAAACAGAACCTCAGGCAAACTGATACAGGCAATTTGAGAGGTTGGGAGTAATTCAAAACCTATTTATAGATCACCACAATTTTACCTTCCATATCATAAAGACAAACATTCTTCACTCCAATAGCAGTCACCCAATGCAAAAGCTCAATAACTTCTGAAATCTGGTGCGCTTCTTCACTTTCAATCACAATAGCCAGGTATTTCACCTTACTTGGATCTAAAGATCTGTATTTCTTAAAAAATCCACAAGTGATAAGGTAGCTTTCAAGCGTGTAATATACATCGTTTACCCAGTACCATATTGTCACCAAAAAATGTAGAACATTCCACAGTAGTATAGCAGAAAATCTAGTAACCTGCAAAGAGACGTGATGATACAGATTACACATAAAAGAAATTACAAACAAGCATATGTGACACCCTGGTCATAACTTTGTGTGTGGCACACGAAAACACGAAAAACACAGTAGTTAGGTCAATTCATTAATAAAAAAAAATAACTTTTCGCAAATAACTGCATAGAAATCAGAATGCATTCCTAAATAAGTATCACATGCTACAAGAACTACTGTTTCTATTGACTGTACATTATCTATTCACAATCAGCCTGGCTCAACATGTCTATCTGAGTAATTGCCTGTATCTGATATGTGAGAGAAAATGTATCCTTTCCAAACATAAAACAGGTAATTCTGTCCATTAATATTTGCATTACAGATGATAGTTATCCACTCCATGCCCACCAACATAATCCGTAAACCTTTCAAATTTTCATAGAGCATAACTCCATGCCCAACCTGTATGCAGTACCGCAGAATCTTAAGCACTCCAGGATTATAGAATGCAAACTCTTACCTTCTCAGTCAGAGTGTGTAACCCTCAAAGGCCTAATATAATCCACCAAATAGATAGTACAACCTCAAAACAAGTTTGAGTTTACACTACCCAATACCTATAGAGATTCCAGATCTCCTGTTCTATAGTTGCTTTCACTATAGAAGCTAAATCAAGTTCACTATAAGATACAAGTTCAAAACAGCTTCACCACGAGTAAATTCTCTCTCCAGTTCTAACACAATCCACTAACTTACTAACCTGCATCTCTCGTAAGAGACTAAGGTTTTCAATAGTTTCCTAGTAATCCCCCCCCCCCTTCTCTCTCTCTCTCTCTCTCAATTAAATGTACAAAAGGTTCCCGGGGGGGGGGGGAGAAAGGCAGATTAATTGAGCAAAAAAAAAATATATATATATATATATATATTTATTGAGATTACAGCATTATTGACAGTTTGATCATATAGCTAATCTGAAATCCCTTTTAACAATCAGACACTTAATATCTTCAAGTCAACGGATGTAACTAAGTTTAGTGCAAAATATTCATTAATTTGTCGCGTAAGTCAGAACAAGAAGTTCACTTCCATGAATTTTACAGCTCCAACTCCAACATTGAATAACATTAAAGAAAACAAAACTTAAGCAACAGATAAAGTTCATAGCAACATAAACAATGGTTTCCCAAAGGGTTAGTGCTCACCTTGGTGATCCAATATGAATGCAAGTACCTTTCTCTACAATCCATTAATCTGCAATTTCAACAAGACATCAAATATGTCAACATTCAATAAGAAGAAGAACCGATAAACGATTCCACAGTACAAAAACCCAAGGAAAGAGCAAGTTTTTCGCCAAGGAGGACGAGAAAATATTAAGAAATTAAACTTCAACATACAAATAACAAACACAACCAGAAATTCAGGAAGTGTGTAAAGAGCTTTAGCATGACAATCTTCTATACCCGACTAGAATTCCTCATTTTTCTTCCTTTCTTAATTGAACATATACTTTGTATGATACCCGTTTTTTTTATCTCTCTCTATAATTTAGCTCTACCATAGACACCCCTACTTCCCTACCTAATAAGCAGAACTGTTGTCTCCCAAATAATCACCATCATTTTGAAATCCAATCAATCATTGGCAGTTTTTATACATCTAAAACTAATAATCTATAGTTTTACACAATAATAGACTCTTGATTCTAAAATATTACCAAATGTACCAATACTTAATATGATCACCCTAACATCATAAGCAAAACTTCCACTTTCCAAGAAAATCACCATTGTTTAGGGATTAAATCAATAATTTAGACTTTTAATACATCCTAAACTCAAATCACATCGTAATTGGTTCATGATTTTTTCATTTAGCTATTCAACAAAGTGAGCCCATGCCGGTTTTCTCTCCTCTACCCATTACTCTCCTACTCTGACCAGGCCCGTCCCTGAGGCAGGGCAGGAGGGAAAAGAGCTCTGATTTCATAGTTAAATCCTAACATTAAAGTGTTGTGCAATACATTAGCAATCAAATTTGATTCATAATTATAGGGATATTTGATTCAATTATCGATCTCATAATTTTAAGGATATTTGATATGATGATAACAAATACAAACAACTTACCTCAGAAGCTGCTTCAATGGGGGATACAAGAACTAGATTCAACGGATAACGCCAACTGCGCTTCAATGGAGAACGTTGAGTGCACTTCAATGGATATCTCACTAATCTAAGAGAGAACAATTCTATGGATCCCTATGACCCGTTACAGTTATTAAAGGAATAGATCCGTCTAATAAATAAATGGGCTGAATCTTTATACGATAGTCCTGTTTTAAAAAGTATAGTTTAAATTTACACTTCTTTTTCCCAAATATTATCTTTACACACCAAAGTTTGTATAATTTGTCACATAAATAAAAAAATAAAAACTTGTATAAATTGTTTGTAAGTTTTTTTTGTTTTTTTTTTCAATTTTAAAATGACTGAAATTACATTAATTAAACTGAGTTTACAACAAACGAAAGGAAAATATGGTAACATAAGTCAATTACAATTTATCATGTGTTTAATGTGTTTAGGATGAGTTTTCCTCAAAAAAAAATGTGGTTAGGATGACTCTTTTGTCATAGCAATTATGGCAAACTAATAGTGTCGTGTGAAGTGTGAATTATGCATTTGTATAGGTAGTGTTACCTTTGCGGTTTTAACATCTGCTGACGATCACCTACATTTTATTATAAATGCAGTTGCAGACTAGCAAGTGTATAATTCACTAATTATATGAGTTGGTTAGTGTTCTGTGTAAAACGGAAAATTGTTAGTGAATAACTTTGGAAGTGACAACTTTAATACTTAAGAAATAAAAAAAAAATAATAAAAAAAATAAAAAAATCTAGATCAACCGAAGAAATTCCAAAATGCGAGGAGAGATTACATCACTTCTCACCCTTTGGGCAAACTCCTATGGTTGAAAGTGAGTAAATTTGTGTACTACATTATTAACCCCTCGCTTTACAAAAGACCATGAAACACTAGTAAAATTAGAAGAAAAAAAATCTAGAAGATCCTTTATAATCAGATGAAAGGAATTGGGGCCATATAAACGCTTCCTCATTGCCTCAATCACCACCAGATTATCATTCTCGATCTCATACCCTTGTGTCTCGCAATCTTCATGCCCTAAAATACCGCTTTCACCTCTTCAATCTTAGTCTCTCATTTTTCACTCCACTACACCGTAGCTCCCCAAATCACCACCCCTTCACTATTTCTACAGACTGCACCCATCCCCCATCCCCACCTCCCCCAAAACACCAGAATCAACAATAATTTTAACACATCAGATGTCAGAGGAGACCCGCCCACAAAGACACTCTTTCTACCCATCAATTCCCCTTGTTATTCAATTTTCCCACCTCACGTCCCTTCGTATTAATCTTCAAAGCATAGCTAGCAATTTGCTCAACATTCGGATTTTCACCTTCAATCATTCATTTGTTCCTTGTGCCCTACATAGCCCAACACATGGTAATTAAACTCACCATATCCTCCCCAAAATTAACAAAAACAGTGCTACCACTAGTCACCCATACTACAAAGAGAGTGAGACAAAACCATAGAATAATAACACTTAATCCAAATTACTTGGGCTAAACTGCAATCTTAACGCATGCATGACAGATTCTTCTTCTCTCTAGCAAACACCAAAAGCTAGTAGCCAAGGCACAAACTAACTACAAAAGAAATTAGCTTTAAAATCTTATGTAGCCTAAAAAATCTAATTTGCTAATTAGCTTACTATTGGAGTAGCTCTAATCGGTTCCTTTTATTAGATACATTTTAACTTTATACCCTAGTGTCCCAACCAGTTCAGCGAATACCCATCCAAAACTTAACCACTTATGTGGCGAACTCCCAACCAAAGCTCAACCCTTACTCTCAAACCACACTTATGCGGCAAACTCCCACCTAGCCCCAACCTAGCTGATCGATCGAACCCACACAACTCCCACCCACCCTAGTCAGCACGAACCTATGACCACCCAGCCCTCCGCACCAAACCCGACACCCTAGTCTTTTAAAAAATTATTTATTATAATTAAATTTAAAATTATTATTTGTATTTAAAGTTTATATTAAGCTATATTTTATTTTTAATTAAGACAATTCTTATTTAAATGAGAGTTAATTATAGTATAAGTCAAATGATGACTTGTTTGACTGATCACGGGTAAAATCTAGTACTTAAATTATTTATGGAATAAAATTGAATTAATATTGGAAGATCACCTGAAGTTCAACTTATTGTGGTTATTTTTTTTCATTATTTTACTGTATTATATTAGACTTTCCTTATAATTATCATATGTCTATGCATTTCTATTTTACACTAATATTTTCCATATGAAAATGACAAAAACGGCAAAAAAAGAATGATGCGTTATCAAATCAAGAACGAATTTTTTTAGTGTGTCATTAAGTATATAGTTATTGAAATATATACTTATGGATTATTGATTAGTTATTATTCATTGATTATTATTAATTATTTATTTAAGTAAATTATAAAAATATAATTTTTAATTATATTTTTTTTCTAACGGATAAATAACAAAAGAATATCAAAAGAGAAGTGTGAATAATGAAAATGTCCAAATGAGGCAATTAAATAAAGAGAGAAAGCATTTAACCAATTATATAAAATTATTTACGAATTAACAAATTACATAACTATTTAATAATTATAAAAATAAATGATTTTTTTTAATAATCATTTTGCCCCGGGCCTCCAAATTGTCAAAATCAGCTCTGACTCTGACTAACATACTAAAAATAAAAAATAAAAAATTCCCTCAAATATTTTTTTTTTTTTGAAGAAAAAAAATTCCCTCGAATATATAAGTGAAAGAATTAGGTATGGATGTTACTCAGTTAGACATGAATTTTTCACAATCAACACAATTTCTATGTCAAAACCCACAAATAGAAGCATATCAACCAAAAATTAAAAAAAAAAAAAAAAAAAAAAAGGCAATATTCGCTCTTAATCTCTAAAACCCACCTCCCAAAATCAAACATTTAATTCAACAAAATGCACACCAATATAATTAAGGAGAAAATTGTATATATATTGTACAAAAAAAATTTATTGTATAATAAAGTTTTGATCTTTAGTAGATCAATCAATTTAAGGAAAAGATAAAGTCGGAAATTTAGACAGAAAATAAGAATAAAATAAAATAAATAATCACATAAGTTTTTGAAGTAAAAAATTGAATCTCGTAGCATTGTAATTGAAAAAAGAAAGTTGAGAATACCAACCGACGATGAACAGTTTGCGAAGTCATGATGATGATTATTGCGCCGAGAACTGGTGGCGACGACAGTTAACGTGTAAACGATGGCGTTGGAAGTTATGGTGGACTGATACAGTGGAGTGACTTAAGTTGTACTGTACTCTGTACTAACTGAAAAAAATGATGACAAATACAATGGAGCCCCAATTTATCGATTAACGAAATAAGTTTATCTCAACGCATGTAACCTCCGTTAACTTTTAATTGCAACTTTGGAATATTTATATCTCACAATCACCGCTTGTGCAGGAGAAACCCCAACTTCACCAATTCAAAGAAACACGTACAAACCCGACGCTCCATTTGATTGTTCATTCAAGCCACCGCCGTTATTAGCCAAAATCAACCACCGCCGTCGTTAGCTAAAATTAGCCACCTCCGTCGTGCTGCTAGAGTTGTTCGCCTCCTTCGTTTATATTGCCAAGTTTGCCCCCTCATTTATATTTTGAACATGATAGGTTTATCTAGGAGATAAACTTGAATTCTCTCGTGATATTCCCACTCGGACCAAGACATGACTTTTCCTTGTTCTGTCATAGGGGTCGGGTGTAAATAATCTAAGCCAGTCAATAAACTATTCGGGTTCGAGCTCAGTTGAAGATTGTTCAGGAACAACTCTTAATTCTTAAATTTGTTAATAATTTATCTATAACATAATACTAAAACAAACACTGGGAATGACACATGTCACTTCCTGATGTCGTTTTTTCCCCTCCAAAAACCACTTTCCTGAAATAAATATATTCTAACTTGATTTTTCTTTTTATATCTTTTTGATCGACAACTTATGGAAGACAATTAAAATTATATATATTTAATTTATATATTATAATAGAAATTAAAGATTCTTATTAGTAATATCAACATTATTTGCTTAAAATGATTTTTTTTATAATATATTATAATCAATGGATTTAATTTATAGTACGAAATTTTTTAAAAGAATATTTACTTTATGTTGCATCAAATTGACTTTGACTCATAAATCTATAACTATAACTATATACTGTATTGTATTATATTATATTAAAGGTGAAATTAAACCAGGAATGACATGCATGTATCATCTTCTTTTCAAAAATTTCCTGCCATTTTTCTTTCTTTTTTTTTGGCCAAAGGTTCTTAGAGAATGTTTAATACTCCTTAACTATTTGGTATTTATATTTCATTTATACACACTCAACAAAAATAATATTATTTTAATTAATACTATGCAATAATTAAACTAATAATAAACAATGAAAGTTACCGTGCATGGCACGGGACCTATTCTAGTTAAGATTTAATTCTTAGGTTTATAATTAGGATTTAGTATTATGCTAATTTTGAGATTTTCAAATGTAAAAAGTGCAAATCTTGTTTATTACTAAGCTCGCTCATTTATCGACTTGTTTATTTGTTCACAAGCCGTTCACGGACATGTATTGTACTATATAAGCCGAAGTTGAACAGATTTTTAAGCTTGCTTGAAAGCTCAGGATCGTGCTCGGACTCGCCTAAGTTAAATGAAGTTGAACATGAACAAGGTAATACTCGATTCGGCTCAACTCATTTACATCCATACGTTGTTTATCGAGGAATTTTGATTTCTTTTAGTGATTTTCAGTAAAATTGTAAAAAAAAAAAAAAAAAAAAAAAAAAAAAAAAAAAAAAAAAAAAACATTCAAATGAGCTTTTATTTCATACTCGACAAGGCTAAACACTACATGGGCTTAATTGCCTTAACATGATACTCAAACAGAAAGATACATATAATGTTTTATACACACAATGCTAATAAAACGCATGAAAATACAAATACCATAAGCTCATTAAAGAGAAAAAGGACAACCTTAGCAAGACGAAAGGCGTAAAATCAGCAAGACTCCTAACCATAGAACAAAGGGTTGGAGCTTAGTTCATATTCATTTTAGTAGGCTTGGTAGAAAAAAAGGGCTAGTTCAAATTCATCTGCAATCAACTGAGTAAAAGGTGGGAGCTTGGTTCAAATTCATCGGCAATCAACTTCTTAGATGTTGGCTCATCACTTTGGTATTTGCCGTAGAGTAAAAAGTTGGAGCTTGGTTCAAATTCATCGGCACTCAACTTCTTAGAAGTTGGCTCATCACTTTGGTATTTTCGGTAGAGTAAAAAGTTGGAGCTTGGTTCAAATTCATCGGCAATCAACTTCTTAGATGTTGGCTCATCATTTTGGTATTTGCCGTAGAGTAAAAAGTTGGACCTTGGTTCAAATTCACCGGCAATCAACTTCTTAGATGTTGGCTCATCACTTTGGTATTTGCGGTAGAGTAAAAAGTTTGAGCTTGGTTCAAATTCATCTGCAATCAACTTCTTAGATGCTAGCTTATCAGAGGATTTCACTTCATTATTATTGACATCTTTAATGAGACTTTTATCTGCTTCTCCCTTCTCATGGGCTTCATATGCATTAATAGAATCTTTGATAAATTCAGGAATGGGCTGCTCATTCATTACCTCCGTCCAATATTTTGCTAGGTCTTTCCTCCCATTAATTGGGCCTGCAAACTGTTCATCGTACCTGAGTTAGGACTAAAAAGAAATACTACTCGAATCAATACAATACTAAAAAGAGCATTGTAGGTTTGGGTGGAAAGGGTAATTGCACAATTACTTGTTTTGCAAAAATTACATGCGTGTCCTTTCATTTCATTTTTTTTTTGTTTTTTTTTTTTGGTATAAATTTTATGCGTAGCGTCTTCATTTCAATTCCTTTTTTTTTTTTTTGGTATTAAAAGAGCATGCTTTGGTTTTTATTTTAAGTTTAATTTGTTTTGTAATGGATATATATTATAAAGAACTCCCTCCATTTCATAATAATCCTATCGTTTACGTGTATCGATGTAAAATTTTATTATAAGTATTCCCTCTACATTTTTTAAGTAAAACATTTATCGATGGAGTATCTTCAATCTCACATTGACATAATTCACTTATCAGGCTTGCCAAAGTAGCTAGAACTTGATAATTAATAACTCTAATTCTCTATAAGTAAAAGTTATATATTACGATAATACTTATTGAGATTATTCTAACAAGATCTCACACGATAACATATTTTTTTTTTATTACATATAACTCACAAACTACAGTCAAAGGAAGGTTGGTTGTGAATTGTGTAAAAGTCAAAACTGGTCAAGTAAAAAAGAACGAAGAAACTATAGAATTTAGATATCTATTCTACTCGCTTTGTAGTTTTTTAAAAAATAAATAAGACGTTTATCCGGTGCACGTATGCTAATGCAAAACTTTAATTTAAATTAATCAATAATATCTTTGATTATCAAAAAATAAACACTATAACAATTGTAAATTAATAAACTTTTCTAAATCAATTATTAGTTAAAACGGATTAGGTGAATAGTGTATAAAATCAAAATTAAACATTTTGCTTAAAAAATAGAGAGTACTATATAAAAAAAGATAAATCTAACTCAAAACTTCCTCATTTAGAGGGTTAATATGGAAAACTATTGATGTAGGGAGGTACTAAGGTTTTTTTTTTTTTTTTAGATGGAGTGCTATAATTAAAGGATTACACTTTTAGATTTATTCAAAAGTACTTATGGCTCCTAGACTATAACAAATCTTTTATAGTGGTAATATATGAGACATATTTATGCTTAAAGAAATTATTATACTTCATATTAGACATGACTATAAAAGTAGAAGTAATACAAGTGAACATTATGTGAGAAGATATTAACTAGCTAGAGTAAAGCCCATGCAACGTGTTCTTCACAAAAAACTATATTGGGAGATGAGTGAGGAAATACCAATATATTAAATCATTATATACGGGTGCAATGTATAACCAATTCAACAACACGAATAAAGAAATAAAATTTGGGACTTTTTTTTTTTTTTCTAAATTAGACTTGAAAAAAAAAAGGTGGAAGGATTAAAATTAAAGAGAGAAAATAGAAAGGTTGAATTGATAAGGGTAGATGATGAAGATGAAGTGTAAGAAAAGAATTAACAAAGATAGTCAAAATATATATATATATATATATATATATATATATATATATATATATATATATATAGGGGAGGGATCCGGTGAAAATAGGTCCATATGTGAGAATTCATACTTATATGAGAACTGATTTAAAATTTAGAACATGTGGGTAAAAATTTAGAACATACGAGTTAAAATTTAGAACATACATGTGACTCAAATTAAAATTTTGAACATATGAGTAATAATTTAGAACATTTGTGTGAGTAATATGTTAGAACATCTGATTTAAGAATTAGAACAAGTGATTAAAAATTTATAAAATTTGCTTTATGAAATTTTAAACATATGAGTAACATTTAGAACACTTGATTTAAGATTATGAACATGTGAATAAAAATTTAGAACAAACTGATATTGAATATAGAAAGTGTGAGTAAAGAATTTAGAACATACGAGTAAAAAAAAATAGAACATACGCTTTAAAATCTGGAACATATAATTAAAAAATCTTAGAAAATCTAGAACATATAATTAAAAATCTTAGAACACACGTTTTAAAATTTAGAACATAAAATTTAAAAGTTTGGAACAAGTTATTTAAAATTTATGACATCAAGCTTAACTAATTTATGGTTTAGAACATGTGAGTAATAAATTAGAACATTTGATTTAATTTAGAACACCTAAAAAAAAGTTTAGAATATCAGATTTAAAATTTAGAACATCGAGTAAAAATTTAGAACACAAAGAGTGTTCTCACATAAGAAAAATTCTCATATAAGAAAAATTTTCACGAGAGTCTTCTCCTATATATATATATATATATATATATATATATATATATATATATATATATATATATATATAAGAAGACATGATGTGGCACCTTGATTTGAAAAAGAAGAATAGGAAGTGTAGTAGAAAGGGGACATGTTAATCTCGGATCTAGTTTTTAAATATTAAGTATAGAGTTGTATTGGACAAGGGAAAAAATGCATATATTTAGAAAATAAAATAATTTGAAAATTTTGATTCAAAGTTGGATTGGAAAACTAATTTAACTCATGAATTACAAAGTATTATACTATAAAATATTATATTCCTTCTATTTCAATTTAGATATGCATCACTTTATAAATCACGACTTCCTAGGTAATATCTAAAGATGAAAGAGGTAAATCTATCTATCAATCTATCAATAACTATATAGTGAAAGACACAACAGTAATGACATGTATCATCTCCTGGTATATCCTTCGTATTTTTTTTTAAAAAAAAATAATTTAATGGGAAATTTATTCAAAGAAACTATTTGTAAAATTTAAAAATACTATATAATAACAATGATATTTACCTTTTTTGTATATTTATAATGACATTCAATTAACTAATACGGAAAATATAATATTTGTATGATATTATTAAAGAATACAATCTTTTACTATAAGTTTTTGTGTGGAAAATACAATTGAGATTGACAAAAGTTAATGACTAGCTAGAAACAAGATATTACAATATATGATCACTGATAAGTATGTAGATATAGATTTTTTCGTATTCCTTTCCCATTTTTATATTCTTCTTTCTATTGTTTTTTTAGGATTTTTTGTTTTTTATTCCTACAATAAATTTTAATCTTTATTATCTTTATATATTCAGCTACTATAGATTTTCTTATCCAAAAACTTTTGTTTACACCCGATTTACACTAATTTTATTGTACATCGAGCAGTATAAGGGTAACTTTTACCTAATTTTAGGGTAACTTTTTGCCTTTTTTTGGGTAACTTTTAACATAATACAATTTTTATATAAATAGACAATAAGAAAAGTTTTATTATGGTAATTTAATTACATTTAATCACAAATAATTGATTTTTAGTCATTTAAAAACGCGATTCTTTACTAATAATTTTTATTTGTACTGGATTACTTTTATGCATATTAGGGTAACTTTTATTTATTTTAGGGGTAACTTTTGATCAATCTAGTCTATCTTTATAGTGGATGTACAATAATTATTGTACACCCGATTTTTTTTAAAGTTTGTGTTTCTTATATGGTTGAAACATTAGAATGTCAATTAAACTTGATATTCCATGTTTCATTATGTCAAATACTTTGTTTTTGTCAATGATAAATTTAGACAATTTATATATTATATTCTACCAATTAAATACGGTATAACATCAAAAAAAAAAAAAATTCGATAACAAAAAATACGAAGTAATAATAACTGTGCATGACACAAGACCTATCCTAATTAACCTATATTAAAAGTAATCCTTTCCATGACACTTGTCATTACCTTGTGAAAATTTTTGCCTGCTTTTTTTGGCTTTTTTAGCTTCTTTTTTTGGCAAAATTTTTAAGTAAACTATTTATACCTTGTGATATTTTCTTTCCCATTTAACAATTATATTCCATATATACCCAAATAAAATATTTATGAATATCTTTTATATATTTAACAATTACACCACAATTTTAGCTAGTCATATCTGTAATTTCTTTTATATATTTTATCGTAAAATTCTATCCAAATAGAATTCTAAACTAACTTTTTTTTTAATCTTATGAAACCTATTTAAATCTATCCAACGTGCCGTGACACTTGGCGTTGGCAAAAAGTTGAAACGCCAAGTGTCACTGCCTCATGATCTGGCTAAAAGTTTATATGACTATATCTTGTGAATTAATTATGAAATGCGACAAATTTAATTAGTTAAATAGACATATAATCTAATGTAGTATGCATATGACATGAACTTATTGCATTATTATATAAAATTTTATTTTATTATATAAAATTTTATTTATTTATTTATTTTTAGTTTCTATATGATAAGTACCCATAACTGATGCATGTGTAATTGTCTAATGTGTTTTGAGGTTAATATATTAATTTAATTTCGTATATAAAGGGCGTGTTCGGCTCTAGCTTTTGAGTAGCTTTTAGGTAGCTTTTAGTGGCTTGAGTTATTCAAACCACTACATAGAAAACATATGAGTGTTTGGGAATATAGTGGTAGGGGTAGAGTTTAGTGGTTCAAGTAGCTTTTGTGAAAAGTTAACATTATTAACTTTTGTGAAAAGCTAGGTACCTGTTGAATTTTCTTCTATTTTTTTAGAATTTTACAGCTAACAACTAGTTTACCAAACACTCATACTGAATTATTTATTTTCACAGCTAACAGCTAATAACTACACATACAACTAACATCCACCATCACAGCTAACAACTCCTCTACGGCTACATTTTGCCGAATACGCCCAAAGACACTTAAAATTCATAATTGTTTAATTATGTATTCTATCGAAAGTTCAAAACCTGAATTATACAAACACATGTATCATTAAAAAAAACATTAATTCGTAATAGTTGAAAAACCACATAAATTAAATCATAAACTAATAAATAATAATAATGATAGCAATAATTACACTACTACAAGATGATAATTGCAAGAATTATATGAAAAAAAGTCACTAAGGAAACTTTAATAATGAAAACATATAAAACCGCTCTTGAATTATAAAGCAAGTTAGTTCCCTTTGTAACGATAATTTTGCTTTACATTCTTGTATATTGTTTTTACTATAACATCGTCATATATATTAATAGTTGATTATATGTATTAACAACTATACTGTATATTTCGAATATCTATATGTAATCATATTAATCTATATTATACTTTATACTTCTTCTGTTTTCTTCCAAATGCAACACACCTTCATTACATTTACTTTGAGGACAAATTAAATTAAGCAATGTCAATGGACAAATAATTCAAAATAATTTACACACGTAAAATATAAATAGATGCATTTTAAAAAGTAATTTTTTACAAATACAGACACTTAGGGCCTGTTCTCATTGACTGAATTGAGCTGAACTGAACTGAGCTGAATTGAACTGAACTAAACTGAACTGAAATGAATATTTTATAAGAGAAGGAAATTAGGAGCTGAACTGAACTTAACTGAACTAAACTGAGCTGAACTGAACTGAATTTTAACATAAGAGAACATGCCCTTAATTATAGAATGGGGAGAGTAAATATTATTGGCATTTAAAGTTGGCTGACCACGGCGGCCCAACTAGTATGTAAAAAATGGAATGTTTTCGTTATTCTAATTACACTTGAATTAGTTGAATATGTTGTTCAAATAAGTAAAAAACATTTGAATATGATGTACCAAGATGTGTCAAAAGACTCAAAACCCAAGCCAACCCAAAATTGATCCAAAAAAATATTAAACTCAAATAACAATTTGTATAAACACTAATTATTTAGCTTGAGTACTCAAATTTACAATAGATATGACCCTACCTCACTAAACCCAACTCAGTTGGACACTTGAATTGATATCTCTAGATGCACATTTACACGTTTGTAAGAGAATTTAAGTATTTAACCTCATTCAATTATAAACTAATCATTGATAAGTTATACTCCCTCCGTGTTTTTTTAAGTGATACATATTGACCGGCACATAGTTTTAGGCAATTTAATTGACTTAAATAAAATAAGAGGTAAGTGGGGTAGTGGAGTATTAAAAAATTGTTAAAGAAAGATAGTGGGGTTAATAGTTTATTGAAAAGTAATGAATGTGAGAGGAAAGATATAATAAAATAGTAGTAGTGGGTTTGGGTGGGGGCCATGAGAGGAGAGAGATATAATATTTTAATGTATTGTTTTGCCAAAAAGGAAATGTATCACTTAAAAAAACACGGTCGGAAATGAAAAATGTATCACTTAAAAAAACACGGAGGGAGTAAGTTAGGTCCACTTCACCTTATTTTTGCTGAATTGAAATTATTTTTACTGAAACAAAATTATATTTGCCGAACTTAAATTATTTTACTGAAATTAAATTAATTTTATTGAACTGAAATTATTTTTGCTGAATTGCTGAAATTATTTTTGCTGATTCTATATTATAATTATTCTTTAAGAAAACTGAATTTTATTGAATTGAAATTATAATTTTTATCGAACTGAACTTATTTTTACTGGACTGAAATTATTTATTTACTTAATGGAGTATTATTTTTTTAAGATAAAGTGGATAGGGCCTTAGTATCGAAATTTTGAAATTAAAATCAATCTGAAATAACTTTTAGTATATAAGTAACTAAAGCTTCATTGTAAAAGCCTTGGATATACAATTTAAAAGTTAGGACTACATAAGTAAGAGTAATTCCATACTACAGAATACACTACTCCGTATTATAATTACTATTAATGTACTACGTATATACTTATTGTGAATTACTCCGTATCTGAAAAGAACATTTGTACGGAAAAGAAGCAAATAAAAGCATAAGAAAATTACCAAAATAATAGAGAGAAGAACTATGAACATGATGCTGATGTTGCACTTCATACTTGCTTCGGAGTAAATCAATAAGCTAATATAAGGTAGCTAGTGAGTTTAACTTGAAATGTTTTTTTTTTTTTTTTTTTTTTTTGGTGAAATGATTTTGTTTGTGAAGGATAGCTGACCCCCATCTTCTATTTATAGGGAGAAGACTAAGTAAACAGACAAACAATCAATAAGGCAATACACTTATACACACATCAATGCACGAAATAATTACACTGTAGAATGGGTCAATTGATCGGTAAATAAAAAAAACCTTTTGTGACAATTTGGTAAAAAAAATATATATATAATCAAGCGACATGCATTTGGGTAAATAAAAATGGAAAATGTTATACATAACTCTTAGGGCTACACATAAGCATTAAATTTACACGTGAAAATCGTAAAAAGTTAAGAATTCATCAAAATATAAACACTGATAACACTGATTTACGTGTGTTTTTGTGATGAATTCCTAATTTTATACAATTTTTAAGAGTATATTTAATGCTTATATATAGCCCTTAGGACTACATATAACATTACCCAGTAAAAATAGCTCCGGCGTCAACTAAGCCCATAAATTGATCGGACTATCATTTAGGTAATGTGTACAATTCACACTCGTTTTTCGCGTTTTATCCCCCTTGTTTTCATATTTTTCCTCCTAATTAATTTTCCTTACTTCAACTACTCTGTTCCATGTGGCCTGTATTTCTTCTCTTTTGCCCTCCATTTAAGATTTAGAAAGGCTGGAAATTAAAGGAGAAGATGAGACTGTTCAATTTTCTTTAAAATACAGAGTAAGTAAATATGCCTTCCATCAAGCAGCAATTAGTTCATAGCAAATGGTAACATGCCGAGAAATGGTAATAGGGAAATTTTAGTGATGTAAGTATGTAACCAGAATCAATCTTGGATCTCTTGGCTATCAGAAAATCTGCAACTCTCCTCTACCCATGATAACTCTATACCATGGAATGTGATCTTTCCCCGCTGCCTCAAACTATTTCTCTTAAAACTCCGTAAATGGAGAAATAGAATAAGTATTTAAAAACGAAGGGAGTATTCCTCCTAAACAATCAATTAACCAGTGCACGTGGGCTGTTTCTAAATTTTTTTCTAAAAAAAAAAAAAAAAAAAAAAAAAAATGCAATTCAGAAAGTCCAAAGCCCCCTCCAATTGCCTGGACCCCACCTCCTAAAAATCGATTGTGATGCCTCTTTCACCCAACCAACCTCCCCTGCTGCTTGTGCTGCTAACCAAAGAGGTGAATGGATCGAAGGTTTTACTTGGAAAAGCTTCTATCCTTCGGCATACTAAGCTGAGCTGCAAGCCATTTACTTAAGCTTAAAGTGAATAAAACAACATAATTGGAGAAATTTGATCCTCAGCACAGATTCTAAACGCGCTGTTGATGAAATTCTGTCAGATTTGTTACTTGTTACAAAGAGTATGTAAAATAATGGTTTCCAGCTAGAAAATGGTGAGAGATGAAGATCTTCCATTGAAAAAGCAGAGGGATAGGATAAAGAAAAAAATTATGGAGCTTATAACTTATTCATGTGGATACCTAAGTAAGTACTACATCCGTTTTTAAAATACTTGTTCTACTTTTCTTTTTCGATCATTTTTAAATACTTATTCTATTTTCTTATTTGATTTTTTTTTTTATAATTTTAAATTAATTTTTCTCACCTAATGGACCCAACATGATCATATTTTATTATTTTCTCCATTATTTTTGTGTTTTACAATTTTGGAAAATTTGCAAATTACAACCATTTTTTTTAAAAATTGCAAATTACAGCATAAAAGTTCGTATAAATTGTAATTTGCAACCTGATTTAACTTTTTAATCGGTTTACATCTCAAAAAATCTTCGATTAAGGTTTTACGAATTATTTGAGCTCAGAATTAGCAAAAAAATAACGCAAGTGCCTCGTTTTGCATAATAAAAATTTATCGATTTGTGGGAAATTGTAAAAATGAGACACTTATGTTATTTTTTGCTAATTCCGAGCTAAATTCGAATCCTCTAAGGGCTAAAATAACCCCTAAAACTTAACCGAGATTTTTCGACATGTAAACCGATGAAAAAGTTAAATTGATACAATTTATAATTTATACGAACTTTTGGGTTGCAATTTGTAATTTTTTTAATTTAAATGGCTACAATTTGAAAAATACGAACTTTAAATGGCTGCAATTTGCAAATTTTCCTTTAATTTTTTTATTTTTTCACTTACCCCAATATCTCCATAATTTATTACTTTATCCAATTTCTCCTAAAACTTCGCATATGGAAAATTAGAGCAAATATTTAAAAATGAAGGGAGTAATAGATATAGCTCACCCCAATTTATCATATAAACAAAACAATTTTAATCAGTCCTTTTGTGGACCATGTTTTGCATTATACTACACTTTTTAATGTTTTTTTTTTAAAAAATAAAGAAAAGGTTCAGATGTTGCATCCACAGTTCTAACATCATCTCCGTCATCTCGCCGATCAACCACAATCACCACCATCATTTATGTTTTACCTTGTTCGTCTCAGCCACCACCGACCATCTTCGACTCAGCCGCCATTCACCATCCACCATCACAGCCACATGTTCCTTTTCGAAACCTATCACAACCACCACCGTCTCTGTTTTCAACCCTCTTCTTCTTCCCTTATTCTCTTCTTGTTCCTCTAGTCCTCCTTTCTCAACAACGACTCCAACGCCGTGAAAGACACCCTAGCTAGTAGCAAAAGGGCGTAAATTATGACCATATCAACCCCTTAGGAAAAGCATTTCCTTCGCGTCGGCATTTTGAACCACAACAGGTGGTGGCGGCGTTGGTGTGCAGCTGTGTTCGCGTGGAAAAATTAAACTTGGATTGATTGATTAAAAATTTACATACCCCACCTACCAACTCAAAAAACACCATTTTTTTTTTGTTGCGAAAGAGGGTATAAACCCAAAGACAAACATAGAAAAATTACATAACAAACCGGGGTGAGGTAACCCCCACTACGTCCTCCCAAAGAAGTTTCCTTATTTCAATTGGAGGCTCATTGAAATAAGACACCTTCTCTTCGAGGACAACCCCTAAATTAGCCAATCTATCGGCTACTTTATTACCCTCCCTAAAACAATGATTAACTACGATATTACAAAAAAACTTAAAAAGATTTCGACAATTGTTCAAGATGTGATAACACTCGCCTCCTTGAATTTGTACTTCCTTTAGAGCTTCAATGCATGCTTGATTGTCCATTTGGATTGTTAGCTTGTTAATGCCCATGTCTACTGCCATTTGTAATCCTAGCTCAAGAGCTAATAGTTCAGCTCTGTATGAATTGCATACTCCAAAACGGGCTGCAAAGCCTTGAACATATTTCCCTTCAGAATCACGAATTACCCCTCCTCCTCCAGCTTGCCCCCAGGAGAACCTTTTGCTGCTCCATCTGTATTGAGAGAGAACCAGTTGGGGGGTGGTGCTATCCATCTCACAAATATTTCATGTTTTGATTTTTTCCCCAGAATATTTTCCTGAATAGGGTTTGCAACAAGCGCATTCCAGGTTTCTTCGACACGACTTTTGATGAAATTTCCTATGTCTAAGGGTATGCCTTTCCTTGTACCAAAGGTAGCCTGATTTCTCCATTTCCATATCCACCAGAGAGTAGTTGCAAAGCAAGTTGGCCACTTCTCTGAATTGGTCACATTTGGTTCATCCATGTTTGAGATAAACCATTCATCGAAGGTTCCTGTGAAGAAGGCAGGGGAAGGAGCAGCAAATTCTAACTTGGTCCATATGGTGCGAGCCTTGGGACAGTCCCTAAGCATATGGATTATTGTCTCCTCAGCATTCTCTTGGCAATTATGGCATCGAGGGTCATCCGATAGTTGTCTTTTAAACCTGTTAGCATTGCATAACAATCTATCATGGAGACACAACCACAAGAAACTTCGAACCCTTCGTTCAAGCCAAATCCCACTCAAAAAACACCAATGCCTCCTCGAAAAACAAAGTTTGTTTCTCATATTGAAAAACTTAGTATTTTCATATCGGCAAGTTTCTAGTTATAACCATTTAATTGCTTAATTTAAAGATTGATAATGTGGCTTCTTTTAAAAATAAAATAAAATAAATAATTGATAATGTGGCTAGATGCATGGGGCCGTGCACGATTATTGTCTTACACTATTCCAAAAAATAGTGAATTTATATTTCATCATTAACGTAGTACTACTTTCGTTACAGGTTATGTGCAACGATTTGACGACATAAAGCAGAGAGGGAAAATGTCTAATCGTTGCACATAACCTGTAACGGTGGTAGTATCAATTATTACATCCCACCTTATAAAAATGTAGCCTTATATTGCTCATTCTCATCAGTCATCACACATTCACACCAACACATTTATTTCAACCTAAATTTCTAAGATGTATTATTATTCTCAATTTACTCGGTGGAGTTTGGCTTTGTGTTTGCTTCTATTAATGGTTAGTTATCTTCTTTAATATTACCCTCTACTATGCATTGTATAATTTGCATATTATTATCTTATGTCTTCAACCTTAACTAATAATAAGAATTGAATTTGATTTTCTTTAACAGATTGGTTATGTAATTGGAGAAAACGTTGCAACAAATCGAAACGATGTAGGAAGTCATCATCATCATCAAGGCCATTCAACAACACCACACATGGATCATTCAGTGCAAGTATTTTTCACCCCTAAAGACCTTAAACTAGGAAATATAATACCTATCTTCTTTAGAGGCCGAAACCCTTCTTCGAGTTCTCCTCATTTTCTTCCTAGGGAAGAAGCCAAGTTAATACCTTTCTCACCATCTAAACTCCCTTATCTTCTTAAACTTTTCGGCTTTTCTCAAGCTTCGTCTCAAGCTAAAGCCATGGAAGATACCCTAAGACAATGCATCATAGTAAAACCTATATTAGGAGAGAATAAATTTTGTGCTACTTCCTTAGAGTCTATGCTCGATTTTGTGCATAAGATTTTTGGACCAACAACAAAGTTTAAGGCCTTGAGCACCAAAAAGTCTGAAAAATTTGGTAGTAATAATTTACAAAATTATACCATAGTAGATGCACCTAGACAAATACTAGCCCCGAAAATGGTTGCTTGTCACACCATGCCGTACCCATATGTGGTGTACTATTGCCACTTCCAAGAAAGGGAAAGCAAGGTGTTTCAAGTTTCATTAAGAGGTGAAGATAATTATATTGTACAAGCTGTTGCTGTTTGTCATATGGATACCTCTCACTGGAGTCCTGATCATGTCTCGTTTCGAGTTCTAGGCGTTAAGCTTGGTTCCCCAGTTTGCCATTTCTTTCCTGAAGAACATCTTGTTTGGGTGCCAATAATATCTAATACTCCTACTCATAATTCATTAGGAAGAGTATCAAGTATGTAACAATATAATAAAGTGACTACTAGTACTTATTATGGCCTGGTTACAATATCAGTGACTAGTGCTCTAATCTGCTGTAATACCAGTACTATGTATTTTACTTTGTGTTTTCTCTCTGTAATAATATTGATGGCAAAATAAATAAAGTTGTGATTTTTAATTCTATTATTTTCATTTTACCATTTTATTTTTTATGGCTTTGTGGGACTTGTGACTTGTGAGTGTGATGTTGGATTAGAGAGCTATAATCTGAAAGCCTCTACGACATCCTAACTCGAAATATAATCTTAAAAATTCGGAAACTCAATGATGAGTATGTATTGTAAGCTTCTTTATGTTATATGGAGTCTTCATTTCACTTCAAATATGCATGTCCGATCCTCGACATTCGAATTAGAGAGTAGAGAAAATTAGAGATGAAGAATGAGTGATGCCCGTGTCTCGTGATGCCTGAATGAGAAAGCTGCTAGATGGATGTGGCCTCATAAAGAATTAGGAATATATATATTTTTAATTATGTCTTGGTCTAAAAGATTAATAATTATACCCCAATATCTCACTTGCCCGTACCTTGATAGAAAAAGTTGAAGCAAAATGGGTGAGATAAATTGCTTTTGACATTTTGTCCAGATGTATATATATAAAAAAATTTAGCATAAAATTTTGGATTGGATACCCGGTGATCCGATCCGAAATTTCGGATACCCAAAAAATCGGATAATCGGTTTTTTTTTAGATCGGATTCGGATCGGCTTTTTGCTGATTCGAAATTCCCGGATATCCGAAATGGCCAGCCCTACTATATGAGATGACTCATGACCCGATCCTAATTGACAGGTCTACATAGTAATAAAATTTTATTAAATTGTGAAATATATTATTTTAACTAATTAGTATATATTATAAATGGATGTTTTACGCTTTAAACTACTTCCTTCGTTCAAAAAAATAATATGATATAAAAAAATAAATTTATATGATAATTTTTTAGAATTATAGTCTAATAATTTTTTTTGAATAAAATTATAATTTAATTTGTACATCTTAAATATTGGTATTTTATCGAAAATAAAACTCAAAACTAATAATTTTATCCTAAAATTCTATCCAAATCTATTAACTACTCCCTTTGTTTTCTTTGATTTGCATCAGTTTGACCGGCACATTTGCCGAGATGCAACTTTGACCATTAATATCTTTTATTGTCTATTAGTAAAAATTGTAACAAAATTATATTATGAAACTAGGCAATATGACTAATCTAATGATATATTATACAATAACATTTATTTATTTTATAGAGGTGAAAAAATTAAGTTAACCATGGTATGTGAATAGTGCAAAAATCAAAGTGATGCATTTAAAAAAAAACGGAGGGAGTATTACTAAAACAGAAAATTGTTGACATCATCCTCTCCCCAAACTGTATATGTGTCGTACTCTCATAAAAAAATTTCCCGCCAAATGCACTTATGATGTCATATATTTTTTTGGTTTTTTTTTTTTATAAGAATTTGTTATTTTTTTTTATTCTTTTTCATTTCAACCTTTTGACTGTGTCAATCTATATCTATATCTATTCTATTAACTAATACTAAAACAGCAGATGCTGACGTCACCATTGCCCACGTGTCGTTCTCTTAATAGAAATTTTCCCGCCTAAATGCTATGATGATGTCATTTTTATTTTTAATTTTTTTTTTCTTTTTGTAGAAGTATCATATTTAACATTTTTGAAATTTAAATATTAAATGCTTCTACCTTACAACTAAAACCTATCAATTTGGGCCTGTTCATATTTACCGAGTTGAGCTGAACTGAACTGAACTGATTGCAGCTGAACTGAACTGAACTGAACTAAGTTGAAATGAATATTTTATGAGAGAGGGAAATTAAGAGCTGAACTGAACTGATTGAAACTGAACTGAACTGAACTGATTGGAGCTGAACTGAACTGAACTGAAAATAAGTAAATATGAACAGACCCAAATTATCGTAGAAAATTGATATAATTTTAAGTAGCACACTAATAAATGACCTCCTATTACATTGAATTATGAATTAGACGACGTTGAACAGATACTATATCATAATTTTGATGAAAATAAAAGATTTTAAATTACAAAATGTACGTAATTCTTATTTATATTCATGTATAATAGCGATTTATTTTTTAAATGTACAAATTTAAAATAGGTTTTATATAAACCGTGCATCACACGGGTTCTAACCTACTAGAATTCTAAACTAATTTTTTTATCTTATGAAATTTATTTAAATCTATCCAAAATGGCGTGACACTTGGCAAAAATTTAGAACGCTCTTAAAATTTAATTGGAATTTAAAGTACGATGGGATATTAAACTATCAACAAGATCATCATACTAAAAACCATAGATCAATGGGAGGAATTGAAAAGAGCAGTTTTGAAGGAATAACAAAGTAACCGATTAGTTAGGTTTTTTTTTAAAAAAATATATATTTTTTTTTAATTTGTCAGCTAAATCAATGGTCAAGATTTAATATTGTGTATCAATGGCTTAGATTAAAAGATTACAATGGCTACAAAATTGTTGTAGCCATTGCAAAATTGGCCCTAGTTATACTAAATCACGTTATGTACAAACTAAATCACGTTATGTACAAACAAAATATGTCATTTTACGAACTTTAATTTATTCATTTTTTGACTTTTATAGTGTTTACATTATTTCAAGAATCGGGTGCTATATATCTTGTTAGATTCGATTTAATGTATACTAGTTTTGTGCCTCGTGTGATGTCCAGGTTGTTTATTGAATTTTAAGATAAATTTTCAATCTATATATCAAATTTTAAAATATATCATTGATACAAAATTAGTTAGGAATTGATGTGATTTTGTTACGATTTGCTATCAAGTTGGCATGTAATGACTAATAATAATGTTGGTGGAAAATTTCGATTTAATTTAATACATCAAAAAAGTAAAAAAAGAAGTTAGCAAAAATAAATAAAATAAAATAAATGTTCAAAACCCGTTGGGTTGACCTCAATCCAAAACTTTGGGCAAGGGTTGAACATTTCCTGACTCGTAAATTGAAGTGACCCTATATGAGATGACTCATGACCCGACCCTAATTGATAGGTGTACATAGTAATAAAATTTTATTAGATTGTGAAATATATTATTTTAACCGATTAGTATATATATATATTATAAATGGATGTTTTACACTTTCAACTACTTCCTTCGCTCAAAAAAATAACATGATATAAAAATAAATTTATATAATAATTTTTGAGAATTATAATCTAATAATTTTTTTTGAATAAAATTATAATTCAATTTGTACATCTTAAATAATGGTATTTTAACGAAAATAAAACTCTAAACTAATAATTTTATCCTAAAATTCTATCCAAATAAAATTCTAAACTATTTTTTTTAGGAAAATTTGTCAGGAACTACATGCTTAATAGGGGTATTTGGAAACAACTACCCACTAAAAAATTTTATCGAAAAAACTACCCCCTAAATTTAAAAAGTTAGAGTAGCACTACCCATTTGCATTTTCCGGCGAGAATGTCCGGCGCATGGGCCCATTTTTTCAATTTTTCTTTGAAAGACACGATGCAATGACAAATTGGACCTTAATTCGTAACCCTAAGATAACCAATTTGAATTAAAACCAACAAATTCAACCAATTTCAAATTATCCCCAATTTCTAAGAACCCGAATATTTCTAATCATTACACCCTAACATCAAAATTCATAATTATTAGATTAAAAGAAAAGAACTACATATGAATTGCATACCCTACTTGTTTTCACTTCTTCAATTAGGAATTTTCAGAAGAAAAATTGAAAAATTGGGCCCCATACGCCGGACTTTCTCGCCGGAAAATGCAAATGGGTAGTGCCTCTCTAACTTTTTAAATTTAGGGGGGTAGTTTTTTTGATAAATTTTTTTAGTGGGTAGTTGTTTCCAAATACCCCTATTAATCATGTAGTTCCTGACAATTTTTCCTTTTTTATCTTATGAAATTTATTTAAATCTATCTTACGTGGCGCGACACTTGGCGAAAATTTAGAACGTCAAGTGTCGCTGTCTCGTGATCTGGCTAAAAGTTTAACTTTATATATTATTAGTTAGTAGTATTGTGCCCCGTGCGATGCCAGGGCTGTGTATTGAATTTTAAAATAAATTTTTTAATCTATATATCAAATTTAAAATATATAATTGATACGAAATTAGTAAGGAATTTATGTGCTTTTGTGACGATTAGTAGACATGTAATGACTAATAACAATGTTGGTGGAAATATTCGATTTAATACATTAAAAAAAATTAAAAATTAGCAAAAAAAATAAATTAAATAAAATAAATGTTCAAAGCCTATTTGGTTGACCCAAACCCAAAACTTTGGGCAAGGGTTGAACATTTTTTGACTCGTAACCTAAAGTGACCCAATCTGAGATGACTCATGATCCGACCTTAATTGACAGGTCTACACAGTAACAAAATTATTATATATTGTGAAGTATATTATTAAAACCGATTAGTATATATTATAAATGTATGTTTTACGCTTTGAACTACTTCCTTCTCTCAAAAAAATATTATGATATAAAAAATAAATTTATATGATAATTTTTAAGAATTATAATCTTATAATTTTTTGAATAAAATTATAATTCAATTTGTACATCTGAAATGTTGGTTTTTTTATCGAAAATAAAACTCTAAACTTACAATTTTATCCTAAAATTCTATTCAAATAGAATTCTAAACTAACTTTTTTTTATCTATCTTATGGAGTATATTTAAATCTAGTTTTGTACCCCGTGCGATGCCCGGGTTGTTTATTAAATTTTGAGATAAATTTTTAATCTATATGTCAAATTTCAAAATGTATCTCTAATACAAAATTAGTTAGGAATTGATGTACTTTTGTGACGATTTAAACATGTAGTAGGCATGTAAATGACTAATAATAATATTGGTATTTTTTTTTGAGATTTATAATCTATTTTTTTTAATAAAATTATAATTCAATTTATATATATAAAATATTGGTATTTATCGAAAATAAAACTCTCAACTAACAATTTTATCCTAAAATTCTATCCAAATTTGATTGAAAATAGAATTCTAAACTATTTTTTTTATCCTATGAAGTCTAT